TATTTTTATTGTTTGAAGTCGGGTTTGAATTTGGATGGATCATCTGTCCCGGGTTAGGTTTGAATTCAGCATTGATACTAACAGGGGAGAGCGGGTCTGAATTCAAAACCAGGGACAGGTTTTCTATCGAAATTCAAACCATACATCAAACATTAGAAATAGGGCTTGGTTGGTTTTTAAGCCAGTTGAAACGCACGTGCTCTGGTTTGCATTGAAATCCAAGACCTCGGGCCAGCGGCCCTCGCTTGAATTTTCTTAAATTTCAATGCAAGCCCTCGCCCTAGCGTTTTTACCTTTATGTTCAACTCAGAGTCACCGTTGTTTATATTCTATTATGATTTTGGCTTTAATGTATAAACATTTGTAAACAATGTCGTTAGTGTCAATTCCTTCTTTGCAGCTCTACTTCACATTATAATAATAATATAGRTTTCTAATTAGATCATTCGCTTTGATATCCTGTGCTTTAGTTATTGGTTTAACATTTGCATTTACATTACAAAATGAGGGATTTGTAATTGATTGATAATAATGGCGATGATGATGATGTCATACATGATGGCGATGATGATGATGATGATGTCATCATGATGGTAATGATGAAGATGATGTCATACATGATGGTGATGATGTCATACATGATGGCGATGATGATGATGATGTCAAACATGATGGTGATGATGATGTCATTCATGATGGCGATGATGATGTCATACATGATGGCGATGATGATGATGATGATGTCATCATGATGGCGATGATGATGATGATGTCATCATGATGGTAATGATGATGATGATGTCATACATGATGGTCACTGAATGGAACTGTAAGATGGAGTATTTGGGCAACAAAATCGCGCAACTTGTCGCGGATTGCAAGGCGAAGAAGCACTGTTGCTCATATTAAAGTGCATACCATATATCCTTGAAAACTAACAAAGTTGTACAAATTAGTGCAAAGTTTTTTTAAGCCTACGGTCTACTGAGGTCACTGAGAAGCACTGTTGCTCATATTACAGTGCATACCATATATCCTTAAAAACTAACAAAGTACAAATTAGTGCAAAGTTTTTTTAGGCCTACGGTCTACTGAGGTCTATACTGAACTCACTAATTTATTGAATTCCGTAAAACCCTTTTCACGGATATATCGTAAGCACTCTACCTCCAGCGAGCACAACAAATTTGCATTGTTGCAAAAGAGTAAAGAGAGTCTCTACTTCGCGTAACAATGAAAACTTGCTGTGCGCTGAGTTGTAAGTTTCTAGTAACATGAACAAATTGAAGATGAATGATGACGAATTAACAAGTATATTAGAAGTATTTCTATCGCAATTATATATGTTATTATTAAATTATTATCAAACCGCCTTTGAGGGTCGATAAGATGTCTTCACAGTAGACCAGCATGTGAGCCACTAGGAAAGTCGTCTGGAAATGAATAAATGAATAGTCTATCATTATATTTCATTAACTCATCTTTATCATACTCTCCTCAAGAAATATATCTACCACAGCCAATCAGAATTCAGATCTAGGAAAGCCGTTRTATACAGCTATTTTAAAAAGGTTGAAGGGCCGGGCGAACGACGATAGGTAATAAGTGATAGGAGATAAGTGATAGGAGATAGGTCATTCCAAGATGCAAAAATAGCTGGAATTACTTGTTGTTGTAAAGATATTTTATTAGTGTTCACATAGTCGACGAAACACTTAAAACACATTGAATATTCGTGTTTAGATGCATGGCCCATTGTGCCTTTCGGTCGTGTAAYTGCCAGTCACCGATGACCATTTGTTGTCGCCTTGTCAACGTTTTTTGAAATGGCTGTATTTGACAGYACTAGGAAATACAAAAGATATTCCATAAAAAAAGGCCTTGTTTAAAAGGGTTACMGTAATGCCCAGTGGCTAATAACAAACCTGTGACCCCGTAGTTYAGTCATCGAATTTGAATTTAAAAGGTAATTCTGCGGAGGGAGGAAAACCAGAGAACCTGGAGAAAAACCCTCGTAGCACAGGAGAGAAACAACAAACAACTCTACATTAGAGAGTTTTAGATTTACGTTCACGGCAAACGTGAAACGTCAGTTGACCAGTAAAAAAATATTTTAAATGACTGAAAAAGAATCGCAAAACAGTCCAAGTAGTAGAAAAACAAAAGAGTATTGGTGCGCTTGGTGAGAAGGTTTGTAAAAGGTAAAGTAAAATACACGAAAACTATGAAAACGTGGTCACGTTTGCCGTTTGCGGGGAGAAGAAACAGTCAATCTAAAACTCTCTAATATCTCAACAACAACTTCTGTAATACTAAAGAAACACCATGCATTGTAGCCGTTCTTGGATCTTGGAATRTCCTATCTCCTAACGCCTATCGCATATTACCTATATGGCCTTCCGCTTTGACAACGTTATTTCAAATTGTTGCATATATATATATTTATTATATAGACATGAGTGTTTTACTGGGAAATACGCCACTCGTATTTTTCGCACAAACTACATCCGGGACCTGAGTAACATATTTCCCATGTCTTCACTAGTGAGGATATCGATGACGTCACTTGCGACGTTTTCCGAGACCTGTTTTGGTTAACTTGCATAGTTTTTGTCTGTGTGGATTTGTCTATATAATAAAATGAAAATTACACGTTTGCTTAAAGGTATGACGTTTAACTTCTCGTGTTGAAAAATATTTCACTCGTTCGCTGCGCTCATTCGTGAAGTATTTTCATCACTCGATGATAAACTTCATATCTTGGCACCACCGTGTAATATCCTCTATATACTTGTATACTTATAATACCTGGATCATCAGCTCCAAACTTGTGGACAAGATGTTTAACCAGCCCCTTCACAACAACATCATCTTTCTGCATCCCTGCAAGCAGTGCTGGTTCAAGTCCTTCGTCCAGTCCATCAGGAAACACATATTCATTTTCTTTGTCCAAATCAATCAATTCTTTGGGAGGTTTTATTTCGTGTAAACTTCGCGGCCTCTCTATTTTGAGCCGTAGAAGCTCAACATCCACCTTAGCGTTCTCATGAGACCAACTAGCCCGCTTTTTCCTGGAGCTAGACTTTCTTCTTCTTCGTACAACCCTTGAACTATCCAAGTTGTTATCAAAAGTAACCTTCGTTACRCGTTCCACTTTCATCTGGGGCGACGCGTCAACTTTCAAAGGCGATTTCTGCATTAAGTCTGAGTTACGAGCGCCATAGCGAGAACGAAGATCTCTTACAACTTTGTCATCCGAAATCTTTTTGGAGTATTTCCGCGCCATGCCGTAGACAGTGCTGGTATGATCAGGCGAGGATTCGTCGATGTCTCCCGTGCTGTAGCGCTCAACTTTTGGAGACCTAGGAAGCTCGAACACTTTTTTACCTCTTCTCCTGTCCAGAGAACATGTTCTGTGATAGTCTGTGATACCAAATTTCGACGCATTTGCAGATTGTTTTTCAAATGCAGCTAATTCTGCCTTAATATCGCGTTCGTCTTCCTCGTCTCCTTCTTCTGTTTTTCCTTTATTTTGTGTTGTCGTCGGCGCTGAACTTTTTACGGGCGGTATTGAGGTTGTTTTAGTTTGACTATAAGCCGGAGGTGACTTTGTATTTGAGTCGACGGAATCTAATAGGGCTTTTTCTTTATTTGGCTGCTCGAGTCTTTCCTCTGGCGGCCAGACTACTTTCAAAGGATTTACTTGTTTGAGTCTTATCGCTGATTCTAATAAYTGCGCGCTGTTAATCGTTCGTCTCGTTTCATCGAGCTCACGATCGATCGACTCYAACAGTTCATCGATAGACCGTCTTTCTTTCTTAGAGCTTCGCTCCTCACGAGTTTCAGGGACTTTGTTCGCACTGTCAGACATGTTCAGTACAGGATGATCTAATGGGGGAACTTGCTCACTAAACGCTTTAGCAACTTCACGAACAGTTTTGTGGATTTTCGAATTTTCCGTGAAATCATCCAAACGTCTCGTCATGTCTATCTCGCTATCAGTAGGAGCAAGAATATCATTCATCGCGGGGATATTGTCATCTGAKTTGCTTTGTAATTCAGAAGTCGAAGCGCTTTTATCCCGCGCGAGACGAGCCTCGAGGATTTTCGAGCTGGAAGTTCTTTTGGGGACATACGGGAAATCGATGACTCCCCCAGTAGATCTGATCCTTCCTTCGTTGCTCCTGTCGTGGTAACGAGGACGAGGTAGGTCATTGTCCAGAGACCACTTTCTGTGACGTTTGTAAGTGACTTCCTCGTCAGACACGATTCCATCTTCTTCGCTTCCCTAGAAAACAATACAAGAACATCTTGTTATTACTACTAATGTGCATCATTTGCATAACAAGTCACGTGATTCTGCCTGTATTTATTAAGGGGGCTAGGGATTGTGACCTGTGGTGCATATGGCCTATCGTGCAATTAGCTGTCTGTTTAAAGGTTCCGCTTAATTAATAAGAAGATATAAATATAATAACTTACTAATGCAAAAAAAAAAAAAGAGAATATAATTGAAACTAGTAAAGTTCTTCGACGTTTCGGAGTCATCTTGAGAATGGAGAAAAGATGACTCCGACACGTCTAAGAACTTTACTAGTTTCAATTATATTGCATGCTAACATGCGCGCTTTCTGCATCTAATTAGAATTTAGACTGACTTGACTCTTGAGGAGGGAGGAAAATAGGAGGACCCGGAGAAAAACCCTTGAAGCACAGGAGAGAACCAACAAACAACTCTACTCACATACGAGTCCAAGGATCGAACCCGGGTCACATTGGTGAGAACTACAGATTATGTAATTTGCGCACCGGCTCAATCACCGTAAAATAAACGTAAATACTAAATGAATAATATTAATATTAATAATGTTAAACATGTAAACGTGTGTTACTTATGCCTATGAACATTGTGGTTGAYATCAAGATCTGCTCTGGTCATGCGCAATAAATAAACTCACCACAGACTCCACGCGTCTTCGTTCCCAGTCCTCCACGAGCGCAACTACAGAGTTATCGTTCTGCTCGTCATTAGACAATCTTTGCAACTGCAAAGTAAAGAAAAAAACCTGTATAGAGTATGTGCATGTTACAACATAGCACCTTATTGGTTGACGATAACAAAGCATTCCTCATTAGCTTCTSTTGTTAGATCAACCAACATGGCGGTTGTTTCACTGTCATCCATATCTTAAAATGCCCCTCACCTCTAACTCAATATTTTCAGTATTGATTCTACTTGAAGTGAATAGTTGATGGTAATTTTTTTAAATATGATTTGAGTGATGCATCTTGGAGATATGAAGGTTTATACTTCCAGTATGCTAAWGAGTGTGATATCATAGGAGGCATTATTAAATAYACGAAAATTTACTGGGGTAGTAAAATATCCYGTATAAAACATAATTATCTTACCCAGGGTTTTTAGAAAGGTTATTGAAAATGTATTTTCTCATTAGTAATCAGTGTTTCGATTTACAAATGATGGCAAATAAACCCAAATACCTCCTATTACATCATACTCATAAGCATACTGGAAGTATAAACCTTGATATCTCCAAGATGCATCACTCAAATCATATTTTAAAAAAATTACCATCAACTATTCACTTCAAGTAGAATCAATACTGAAAATATTGAGTTAGAGGTAAGGGGTACTTTAAGGGATTTTGAGATTGCACACAGTGTACATGTATTGCTTTATTTGTTCGTATTTTTTCATTCCTTTTTCACTTTTTTCAAACCTTTCATCGTTTTTACTTTTTTAAATATTTTGATAATTAACAGGACACATTTATAATTAAGGGGGCAAGTGTCCCGTCCCCCTCCCCCACGCTAGTGTTTTAAGGGGGTACTCATAGTAGTCAAACTGACAATACTCACGTCATCGTCATTAACGAACACATCACTAGCTGAACGAAGATCCTCCTTTGCGTTGTTGTTCTCATCCTGTGTCAACATATAAAAATATTATGATATTATATATGATCCGGTAAAATAATTTTGACAAACATATTCTCCCTTTAACCACCACTGCAGTTAATGAAACAACAAAATGTATTTATTCATTCAGCTTGGACTGAAAGTCTTACAGGCCTAGGACCCCAATTACAAGACAACCGATAGTTCGAATGGACCGTTTTCTCAAGATCGCGTTTTGTGGCCCGTCAAGTTGGATGAGCATTTGGAAGTTGATTTTTGTGGAAGGAGGAAAATCGGAGAACAAAGTTTGAATTGAAAATATTGTATTGTTTCTTCCCTTGGGTCAGTGGCATGACATGGCAATATTTGTAACCCACTATAAAAAAGGTTATTACTTTTACAACACGCCTGTACAAAAACCTCAGAAGTGTAAGAATTCTACTTTAACTTTGAATTTTGTTTTTGTTTTTACCTCTTTGCTCTGTGGGGATTCGAGGGTAAAGCGCTAAAAATAGATACAAATATCAGGTATCAAAAAATATTTTTTTTCATTCATAATAACGATATTATCAGCAATTTAAAAATCATATATTTGCCCTTAATAGATTGAGGGGRAAACGGGGACGAGTTGGCATCGCATTGTGGGACTGTTTAAGGGGACGAGGCCATCTTAGACTCTTCCACAGTCTCTCGCTCGTCCGTTCCGTCTCCACGCTTAGAGACTGTWACGGTACAATGACCGAAAGGACTTATAGGTCCCGAAAACTKGGACCCGGCGTGCTTTGGRAAMCAAAATACTCGTCCACAGCCTCTCTCGTTTTCGCCGCCATCTTGAAAATACGAGAGAGACTGTGGAAAAGTCTATATCACTCGTCCCATTTTTTCCTTAAGGCCTCATTATACAGAACATAAATTCCACCCTACACTACTGACTTACTCTTTTAGACAGCGAATGGCTGGACGGYGACCCTGAAATACCAACGTAAAAGTCACATTACACAAAGTATTGTGATTGGACGAGACCCATTTACCTAATAAAAGTATCTGATTGGTTGAAGGCGTGAAAGCCATTCGTGTGTTTAAAAGTTCCTCTTAAAAATTAAGATTTTCATAATTAATACGGTTTAAGTTAAATTTTATTTGAAGTTTATGTTATTTATGATGCTATTTACCTTTGAGAGACAATCTTTTCGTGAGTTATCATTGAGCCAAGCCTTCCATTTTCTTGTAGAGATCTTTCCTAAATTTTAACTAGTTTTATAGTTTACTCCAAGATTTATCTGTAATTTATCATTCTCTTTGAATGGTTCTCGTGAATCTGCTTTGGTTTAATCCTATTCCTACTTCTCCTTTCGTTCGTTTATCCTTTATACGAGGTGTTCCACTAATTGTTTTGGTTCAATGTAGTGAGACTGAACAACTACAAGCGAGTGAGTTTTAGAATTATCTGCAAAAACAAAAGCTTTCTTTAGAGATTCGTCATCTTTTGTATCCATGCATTAGTCGTTTATTTTATTATCTTTAGCCTTTTTCTAGTTTCTTGAAGCTCTTTCACACGATTATTTTAAACTATGAAGCTAGTTGTGTGCAACGGTGTTGAGAGACAAAATAGTTCCGCTTTTCGCGAGGCGTTTTTCTTCAAGAACGTTTCACAAATCGGTCTTGTACRTCTTCGTAAACGCTCAGTTCATTTTGATACTCAACGTTTGTGCCACTGTCAGCTTCTGTTAAGTGTTTTGTTAAATATCAATCTTTAGTCTTTTCAGTTAAGTTCGCTTTTATTTTTATTCTGGCGTTAGTTTCAGGTTATTTGTTAGCAATTTCAACGTTTGTTTTTAYATTTATTCGAGATGTAATTTATGTTTTTGCGTCAAGTTTATTTGTTCGTTTAATTTACTAATTGAACTAGTTGTTTTATTTCTTTGTTTGCTTTCTTTTCGTAGTTTTCTTTTATCTGAGTTCATTTTCTGACCATTTATATAGTAGTTAGTATATTTTTATTTCGTTATTATAAAATTTAATTTTTGAGCTAAAATAAAGATTACCAAGAGAATATGAAGTAATTATATAATAATATAATACTTAATATTCTCTTGAGATTACCCATTATATTTTTTAAATTTTTCGTGCCCTTTACCAGAACCGGCAAAATACCTTTGAAACTCTGCCTTCTCGATAAAGAAGGGCTTTTCTTGGTCTGTTGATCAGATTCTATAATGAAGAAACAAAATAAACATTCAAATCTAACCTTTTTTACCGACTCACTACCTTTTGGTAATTAATGAAATGCGTACTGCAACCGGTTGGGTGAAAAAATGGCGGCAAAACAGAAGAGACTGAGAAAATACCGCTTTACATGTAGATACTGTAAAGTTAATGCTAATCTTTTCGTGATATTTCGCTTTGGGGTTTTCGTTTGACTGGCCAATTTACCAGATAATTTTTGTGAAGGAAATGGCGTTGCTTAACTTTGACGAATGAATTTCAACTGCGCATATTCTAAAAACCTGCCTTCCGAAAGGTCTTAACAAAATGCCTAAGTACTTGAACTTACGGCCAATTCTTCCATCTTGTCTTTGTTAATACAATATCTCAATCTCACAACAAGAACGCTCTTGAATTTTTGGKWAAYRTGTTGWRWTGCGCGCATGCGCMAACGTTTTTCGATAGAGTTCCTTATTTCTGACATACAGTACCTGAATTGCCATCCCCGTCTTTATTCTTCTTTCCCAAAATCATATCTTTGACCTGTAAAAAGGATACAAGATTATCAATGGCTTGGAATTATTTACTTTTATTAGCCTGATGACACTTTCCATTTCAGATCACATGTCATTCCCTAGAGTATCATTTCCTTGTTTAACGATTGCGCATGACATGAGACACGAATATGGACATAACTCAACATTATCTAGTCGCGCAACTTGAGCCAATAATGRCCATTGTTCTGTTACTTACTTTGTCTGGGACATCAGCAGTCAGACTTTCCACCAATAGTCTCTTTAGCTCCAGAGTCCATTTATTTTTTTGCTCCATGTTTCGCGCCTTTAATAAAATATAAATGAAGAGACAACTAGCTAAAAACTAGTGTGAGCTGTGTCGGTGTTTCTAATGAAACAGTAATGATGAAAAGGTAAATAATACACCGTGAAAAGATGAAAAAACATATACTRACGTTTCGGAAGCTATTCTTTCGTCGGAGTAAAAGAGCTTCATTTAACCAAGGGCGCCTTTCCAACCAACGGTCTTTCTGGTTTGAATCAGCCGTACGATATGAATACATTTACACGTCCACCAACGGTCTTTATGGTTTGAATCAGCTGTACGTACGCTCTGAGTATTTACCGCTGCACTATCCGTGCCAAGCAGCGCCGGCGTTGCTTCGTTAGCGATTACTCTCCTTTAATAAGTTAATCAAATTTACCTTCAGTACAGTAAAATAGACCACAGTAATCATATCGTACGGCTGATTCAAACCAGAAAGACCGTTGGTTGGAAAGGACGCTTATTTTTAAAGATGAGTGAACACTATTTAGTATCCATTTAGAAACAAACATATATCAATTCAATCAGAATAACTGAAACAAAAACACATACATCTAAAACCCAATCCGTCTGTTCTGGCGTCCTTGATTTAACTCCTACGAAGGACTAGCGTCCGAAACGTTAGTAAGATTTTCATCTTTTCACGGTGTATAATTTACCAACCAATTTATCATTACGATATATATGGATAGATAATCAAGGGACTGAATACTGACAATTGATATCGAGMAATAGGCCCTTTGCAGCTAAGCAATCACGTGCTGATTAATTCTGAGAGCAAATGAATGAACATTTTGATTCCCATGGGTGAAATATACTGGAGAGCAAACAAACTTTCTACAACCTGTYTMGAGAGAWCGTAATAAAACTGCATTTCGTAACAYACTGRATACACATGTTTTCATTMAGTTCTTTACAAGTAGCTAAAAAGAATYACCAATTTAATAYAAAAACARAAATTTTGCAGTCCAKTACAGACACGTGACCGTTAACTGMAAAGGGCCTATTCGAGTCTGTATTCGCGATAATCGTTATTGGTTTCATATATCAACGAAATAATCGTGTATCKTTCGTATTTCTTTCGAGTAAAGCTCGACAATTGATCGTGAACTAGTCTGGCCGATGTAGAATTTGTTTTCCATTCTCGCATTCCCCATAATGCATTGCGGTTTTGGGTGCCGGGCAACTAGTACTGCGGGAAAACCACACCTCTTATACTTAAGACTGAAGATATTGTATATAAATGCATAGCCGACGTAGTGGCCCAAAAGGGATGGAATTGATCCGCTACCCAGGCTAAAAAATGCATGACAGTTTTCTTTGACAGTAACACCCAAAAGCAAAGCATTGTGGGAAATGTGAAAAAGGCGAATAAATATTATTGGGTAACTTACCAAGAAAGAATAATTGACTTTTTGGTTATCAAATCGAATGATCTGAAACCCTAACGGTTCTTTGGGAACTGATTCTGTCATCATCATGTTCGACAGCTTGAAACGAAACAAAAAAGGTTCAAAATTTAGGAACAAATCGTGACATTTTTATCGAGAAACCATAGGCTAATTAAGGGTGGTGTAGTGGTAGTACACTCGCCTCTCACCTCTGCCGTCTCAGGGTTGATTCCTGGACTTCGAATCACAACATAAGTTTTTTCAGGGTTTAGYGATCAAAGGTGTGCGGGACTCTACTATTAACAGGTTTGAGGGTAAGTAACGCAAATATCCTTGCAATTACAAGGCCTCCCGGTTATATCTTCCCGATTGACTGGGAAGATAAGTGTCCAAGTTTCCTCTTCATTCTAGAATCTTCTTCCTTCGGTTAAAAGCTCCCCCCCTCCCCCCACACACACACCAGGTTATAAGGTCATCATAAAACCCTTACGAATGAKTATGAGCCCAGGGTTAAAGACGGGATTCTCTGGACATATGTTCATAAAAGATGAATGAAGATGCTCACCAAGAGACTTGCTTTGCACGTGTATCCGTTTTCTCTCTCTCTCTTCTTCGTAATAAGTAGAATCTTCTCGAAGAGAAAGAGGTATCGATCCGTTCTTGTTCCCACGACCCGAAAACTATCCTACAATCACAAAAGGTAAATTTAACAATATAAAACACAGGGGCGGATCCAGGATTTTGTTCGGGGGGGGGGGGGGGGGGGTGCTGCGCACATATATTAACCCAGGGAGGGGTGCACCCCTTAGAATCAAAGGCAAAAATTGGTTATCTTCGAAGTAGGGGCACAAAGTGTAACCAGGGAGGGGTGCGCACCCCCTGCATCCCTCCCCTGGATCCGCCCTGGAACAGTTACAGAACAGAACACAGCACATAACGCAGTTCTCTGGAACAATCTGTACGATCATACAGGAGGGCAGACAAGCTTAAAAGCTTTTGGGAATAATCTTTAATCAAATAATTCTAAGTAGCATAGTTATTATTTATTYAGCATAGTAAGTTTATTTAGTAGATTATTAAGAATATAATAGGAATTCTCACCTCCAAGACAAGGTTACCGTAGGTTGTCAGGTCTGGACCCTGAAAATTCATTGAAAAAAGAATTACGTTAAGTAAATGAAGGTGCGTTTACACTTTGGGGTGCTTTCTCCTAGCTGGCGCAAGTTTGGTTTTTTGTTATAAAACAAATATTTTGTTTGTAAAAGTTGTTGTGCATTTGCTAAGGGCAAAAAATACGATTCGCTTTGCATAAATAAAGAGACGAAAACTATTTTTGGATCGTAAGTTTGAATAATAAATTAAAATAATTAAATTCTAATAACTTTTATACCTCGAATTCTGATAGCTGACTTTGAATTTCCTGGAAATATAGGWAACAAATATTATTTTCTATGAATGGAATGATTGCAAGTCGAATGAGATTGACATTGCAAATGAGGTGACGTTAATTTCAGAGTAATTCATTATACAAAAATGCTGTGGTGGAAAGTACTGCTTTTTTTCCCATTTGCAAATCATCCTTACTGAAATATATGGCTTTGTACACTTTTGGGTTATTTTAACTTCAGAACACTTGTAGTAAATTACACTGCAAAATGTAACACATTCTGGAATTTACGTCAACTCATTTGCATTTTGATATTTCAAATGTTTATATCTCTGAAAAGAAAAGACCACATAACAAAAGTACTGCAACCATAAACCGTGGAATCAAGGGAGAGACCTGTCAAATTCTACTCACATGTAATGCCATGTCAAGGAATTGAACCCGAGACCCCAGAGGTGAGGGACGAGGGCACTACCGCTAGCTACGAAACCACCGATGCCCACCTTCCTCCAAAACAACAACACAATAATACCCTGCTTGTATTATAAAATCTGAAATGCACTATGGGCAATGCAAATGCCACGGTATGGGATTTTCCCAAACTTTGTCTGCACGTTTTTCCAGCATGTTTCCTTAATCTGTGAAGTGAAGACTTTCGTTTACCTGAAGGTGAAGTGTAGCTTCGTGTTGTCTCTTCATCTCGTTGATGTGTTTTGCTACACCAGTCATGGCGAACAAAGCATTCTGAAGATAATGAAGAGAATACCGTTAATAAAAAATAAGTACTGAACTATCCCCCTAAAAAGAGGGTTGAAAACTGAAAGACAGCACTTACACGGCACGGTAGGCTCCATCATTTCTATGGGAAGCCACTTAGATGTCATAAGTGAGTACCGTCCTTTTTATCGGATCACTCATAACATAACCYATCTTAATGTTACGGCATATCGTAACTTGTGAGTATTGTAAGTCAGTACCGTATGTTTCACACTCATTAGATAACCATTCTTATGGGACGCCATTTCAATGTATAAGGCATGTCGTACCGTGTGCGTGCTGTAAAGAGTCAGTACCGCATGTTTCCCACTCATTAGATAACCATTCTTATGGGAAGCAATTACAATGTTACGGCCTGTCGTACCGTGTACGTTCTGTAAGAGAGTGTTGTACGTTTCATCAATCAACTTCTACACACAAGACACCAGTTACTTACACATATGATTTCGTAGCCTTCAGCATCATTATCTTTATCAAAATGTTTCGTCATTTCCTAAGAAGAAATGGATATTGTTTTTCAGTAATTACTTTAGARGTCCATAGTGTCTTAAAGTAAAACGAAATAAGCAAGTCAAACATATGGATTTCCTCTGAGCTATCTAGCATAAGGTGTGCTTTAATGCGTACCTGTAACAGTAAATGATATTTCAAGATTCTTTGTACTGGCTTCAACAGATACGAGCCAAGAGGTAGTGAGTGTCCAAGAGCCATTTGTATTTCCTATTAAAAAAACCAACAAAAAAGATCACTTTTCATTTAGGAAATTCCTCGGTCAAGTCAATAAAGATCACTTGCCGGCGGCCATGTCAGAAAAGATGACAGAACAATAGGATCTTTTACTCTCGGAAATTGAACAGGCCGTTGGCATTCATTTTACTACCACTACCAAAATGCTTCGCGAATTTTCTTTTACCTACTCAAATTTGTATTCCCTCATGAGAATAGTAAGACAATTAGTGCTAATTRACTGAACAAATTAAAGAAAATGTGCTATTGAGTCTGGAACTAGTAGTTAATGACGCTTTCATGTAAGTGTCCTATTCCAAGTCTTTCTTATGTTAAACGATTGTATTGTTCCTGTAATCCAACATGGCTGCCGTCACGTGTTTATCATGGCAGTTCCTTAGTTTTGCTTGATCGCATAACAAAAGTAAATATATATAGATATAYAAATAAGAGTTGTAAGGAATTACTTTAGCTCTTTTTAATATCAAGGTTTCAAATGGCGTCATTTCCTGTCTCGTGTGGRATGTTCATCAGGAGAGTCGTTTTTACGGAGACTGAGTAAGCACTATCAACGGAATAAATCCTTGCCCAGTGATTAAACTCTATCCAGATGGTGTGATTCGGTTGCACAAAGCGGCTCGAATAGCCGTTATCCACCGGATTTTAAATAATCCTTATATTGATAACTATTCGATGGATAGATTCGGTGAATAACTTATTTATRTTCATACAACTGACTCCAGCTGAATTGCCCTATTTCCCTATGACGTCACTGGTTGTTTATGTGGGGGATAGAATCGCCAAATCTAATAGAAAATTCAACAAAATTTGCTCCTAGCGAAACAGTTTAATCTAAAATGGCCTGGTATACATATAATATGTGTTAATATGTGCTAAAAAATATTCTGAGCGTTTGCTGGCTATTCTACTTCTCTTCGTGGATTGATACGGGTTTTAGAACAATTTTCGGTGAATTTGCGTTGATTTGACCCCCTCCGACGACCATGATCCTTTGCGTTTAAACAAGAGATTGTTTTGRTGTGACGTCATAGTGAAATAGGGCAACTGCAAGTTATAACTGAGTTTTTAAAATAATTCTTCAGTTCTGGTTGACAGCACATGGTGGTCAGTGTTGGCCATATCATTGCAGCAGATAATGAGATTMAAAGATTCTCAACATTTGATTGTAAATCCAATGTCCGGTTGTATAGTTGAAAATATACCACTCTTCTTACCTGGATAAATGTAGCCGACTCCCTCTGTCTCGTGCATTCTGTAAGAATCTCGACTGATCTAAAAACAACGTAATACGTTCAGTATTTCTTCAGTCTTTTCTTTGGGGGGAAAGGGGGATAATAGATATGTGTGCGATATTTATTCGGCGTTTATTGTTTGTTTTGTTTCGTTTTGTTGTCGTTGTTGTTGTTTGTTTTTTGTTTTGTTGTTGTTGTTGTTGTTGTTTTTTCCTATTCTGGCTTGTGACACTGGGACAAAACAAAAGGCTGTCTTTTCTCACGCAAAAATCATCCATTGTTTTGTCCCCCAGAACAATTTCTATCGGGACTCAGTACAAGGGGTGCATTAAAAAAGAATGGTATCATTTCTGGTTATATTTTCGTCAAACAGCTTTTTCCATGTGTGAAGACCATCTTTAAGATCCTAAAAAAGTTGTGATCTTTAATGAGGAAATATAACGCGATGAAACGAGCACTGTGGAATGGCGCATTCCCAAATACCAGTCGTGTAACTAACAAGAACAACCGCAACTCTAAGTAAAGTTACTTAGTTGGCTTCGAAATGGACTACTTTGACGATACGGCGGCCATCTTGCCAGGGGGGCAAAATAAAACAAAGATGACGGAAATAAATAGTTTTTCGTGTTTGTCTTTCTTTTAGGGGTAAATGTGTTTGATATGAGGTATTAATTAATCTGTTGTATTCTCTTGTGGTAGGCTGTTAATATCAATCGACGTCATAACTGTAACAAAGCTTTATTTGCCCCCGGGACGCCCAATCATAACTTGCGATCCAAGATGATGGCCGCCGTATCGTTGAAGTAATCTGCTGGGAATGTTTTCCATTTCAGAACACATGTCATTCTCTTAAGAATGTGATTTTTTGAATCCATATTCATGTGTCTTCTCATGCACAACCGTTAAACAAAAAAGCGATACTTAAGGGAATGACATGATCTGTAACGGTAAGAGCATTACACCCAAGGTAAAGACCGACTGGGTCTACAGGGGCGGATCCAGGGGAGGGGTGCAGGGGGTGCGCACCCCTCCCTGGTTCCACTTTGTGCGCCTACTTCGAAGATAATCAATACTGTTTGTTTCCCTTTGATTCTAATGGTGCACCCCTCCCTGGACAAAATCCTGAATCCGCCCCTGGTCTATTAATATTAAGAACAAACAAACTACAACCACGTCTAAGAATCGTGACACTTACTTCGGGTAATGCGTACAGTAATCAGTGTAGGTTTGAAAACCTTTTTTCTGCAAAGTATAAAAGTATACATCAATAACATTTCCATTAAAATGAAAATAAAACAAAGAGTTCATTACGTTGTTCACAAAACACTKCGCAATCTCCACAGGGTCGTCATCAGCATTCTCCAGCTCTTTCAGAAATTCCCTGAAAAAAGGAAAAATTTATTTAAAAGCCACGACTAAAATTTCTTCAATGTTTTCGGCCATAAAAGAAAACATGGACGATTGGGAATGCACTGGGCATGTAGCTTAGCGAGAATCAAGGGTTAAATCGGAAGTGAAATAGAGATAGTGCTTTCYGTTCGCCTCAGTCTCAGKTTCCATTCCTGGACTCGRCACCTCATGTAAGAAGAGGTATTTTTGATGGAAATCAAGAGTGTTCTAGCCACTAAGGTCATCTCAGGTTTGATTCCTGGACTCRGCACCTCATGTAAGAAGAGATTTTTTTGATGGAAATCAAGAGTGTCTAGCCACTAGTACTCAGGTCTYAGGTKTGATTCCTGGACTCGGCACCTCATGTAAGAAGAGATTTTTTTGATGGAAATCAAGAGTGTCTAGCCACTAGTACTCAGGTCTCAGGTTTGATTCCTAGACTCGGCACCTCATGTAAGAAGAGATTTTTTTAATGGAAATCAAGAGTGTCTAGCCACTAGTACTCAGGTCTCAGGTTTGATTCCTGGAATTGGCACCTCATGTAAGAAGAGATTTTTTTGATGGAAATCAAGAGTGTCTAGCCGATAGTACTCAGGTCTCAGGTTTGATTTCTGGACTCTGCACCTCATGTAAGAAGAGGTATTTTTGATGGAAATCAAGAGCATTCTCATTCCCAGATCCTCCTCGGTTGTCATTCCTCCCCGTCAGTAGGATCTGGGAATGAGAATGAAATCAAGAGTATCTAGCCACTAGTACWCAGRCCTCAGGTTTGATTCCTGGAATCCACATCACACATGAATAGAGTTTTTGGGTCTCTCCCTTCATTGTTTCAAGGGTTTTTTTYCCCCATGGCAAAAATCACCTAAATTCAAATTAGATTTCTGTGGATGAAGAGAAACTGTGTTGATATGCCACTACAATCCCTGACTTATTTATCAAGAGACAAAAATAGAAGGTTTGAAGAAAATGAATAACTCTTCATTACCTATTGAATTCAAAGATCTTTTCAATGTTGATGAATAAGTCCTTGACGTTTYGTTTGGAGATTGGACAGTTTTTCATGTGCATACATTTTAAGTAGCCCTGTAGAAAAATACAATAAAAAAGCATTAGGCACTAAACAGGGGCGGCAGAACCGGGGGAGCCGGGGGGGCATGTGCCCCCCAAGAATTTTTTTGGGGGGGCCTGGCCCCCCCACAAAATATTGGTTCACATGAAATATAAATGCATAGATTCGATTTTTAATACTGTTATCAAGTTATTGTTGTGATTTTTTCCAGTGACCCCAAAGATTTTTTGCAGTGCCCCCCCCCCCCCCCCCAAAGATTTTCAGCTTCTGCTGCCCCTGCTTAAGTCGGCCAATGAGAATGAATTAATAAATGGATGAAGGTATGGAAAGAGGGAGGGCGGGAGGGAGGGATAGATGGATGGATGGATGAATAAACAAATGAATAAAAAATATARCAAAAGTTTCTATATTTGAATATAAATCATTTGAATAATAAACTAAAACATGTACCTCAATGATTTCTTGAAGATTTTTCACATATGCCCTTTCAGTTTTTATAGTCTCTTCAACCACCTTGTCTATATGGTTTATCATCGACCCAGTAGATGATCTTACCAAACTTTTATCAGACAAATGTGGTGTGCTAATAAGTGACTCATCCTCCGACAAACAAAAAGGAGAATGATATCCTGGGTTTTCATTCTTATTTCCTTTTTTCTCATAGTTCTGAGTTAARTTTGCAACTTTAGAACTATTTAAAGAACTTCTCTCTTTATTTTTAGGGTTGTCATCTTTTYGAGGAATAACTATGACAGGTTTGGGGTTGAAAAAGGATGATGCAGATTTAGAAGAAAGTCTAGTTTGGATATCACTTGGCTTATCCTTCTCGTGATTATTCGGGYTGTCCTGTTTATTTTTTTCTATTGACCATTTTAATTTTTTCTTGGAAGACATACGAGGTGCAAACAGAGAGTGTAGTTTATTATTTGCCGAGTCTCCATTGCAGGGTTTTTTATTTGTTTCTTGTGCTTGGATGGAATCTGATGAAAGCTCTGATGATATTGGTGGCATTTCTGTTGAGTATAAAAASTAATGATAAAAAGGTAAATTTTACACCGTGAAAAGATGAAAAAACTTACTGACGTTTTGTTGTGATGATATAACTTATATTTTGTCCACAATTCTTTTGCAAAAAAACTACTCTATGAAATACAATAATTTGTTACACAACAGTCTGACAGAAACTMTCATTTGTCAGAGCACTTTCTGAATTTCAATTTATTTAACAAATGCATGGTCCTACTAGACATTATTATATTCTCTGTAAATTTCTAACACTTTTAGAGCTTGTAATCCTGAGTTTGTTCAATGACAGATAGTCAAATTTGACAGAAATTTTGATATAAATTAAAATCCTCTCKCTCAAAAACATTTTGTTTTGCTAATTACATTAATACTTAAAAACTGCACTAGTTCCTTGCTCGTTTTTGAAGTGGCCAATATTAAAAAATCTTACTTCTTCTTTCTCCTTGGTTACGAATGCTTACAAGAGCTGACATTGTGTAGCACAACTGAGAACTGAAAAATAAATTGGGGCAAAAGTTAATTAGCTGTTTTAGAGGATGAGGTAGCTACCATCTTGGAAATATGTACCCTCAAACAGCCCCACAATGCACTGAAAAGCCAACTCCACACAGTTTTTTCTTTAACCTCACAATGGCTAAGTTACATAATTGAACACCAGAAAAATGAGTAAATACAAGTAACTTTTTTTTTGTTTTTTGTTTAATGTGCAAACATGTAGATGATGAGTCAAAAATACTAATTTAAATTTRAAATTTGTTGAATTGAAAAATTAATACTTTATGCTCTATTTATACTTCACTGGATAAAGTATATGAGCAACTTAAAACTAACTTGTTTTCGTAGATTGGAGTGATTTGTTTTATAAATACRAGAATGCTTCCTCAACTTTAAAATTGTTAAAGCTTTCAGGACAAGACAACTTATATAAATCTGATAATTGCAACAGGTATTTTGACAGATATTTTTCATTCAAATTCCAAAAAAGCTATCCGATGTAAAAAATCTAATTTTTACATTAAATAAAACTTGGTAAAATTTGTAAACGATTAACGGTCGACATCCTCAAAATAGAAAATCTTCTATTTTTWATAAATATCCCTGCATGTGACATTATCTTCACACAAAAGAAACCAAAATTTGTAAATCCAATTCAAGAAAAACAAGGAAAAAATATAAATAATTGATACAGAAAATTTTTGGGGAAGTTATGACGTTTGAATGGTTGAGGCACAAAAGTTAATTTATTTTGTAAATAATATTAATAAGTGTTTTGAGTCGATTTTATATTGCAAGTGCATAGAAAGCAAAATAAGGGATCACATTTCAAGTCTGTTTTATGRGATTAGCAAGCTTTTACCTAAATGTCATACTTCCATAATGTGATAAGAATTTTTGTTATGAAGACTCCGCTAAATTAAATTTTTTGAGGTATGTTTTCAGAGTGCCAAAATAGATGCTTCGTTTGCTTTCTGTAAGAATACAAGCGAAAATATATATTTGAAGGTCGTCGTGTAAGTTCTTCTAGGTTAAGAAGCCAAGTAAAAAATGCAATCGCTTACTAATATCACGGATAAATTAACATTCTTGCGTGCGGTTGCACTCAACAGGCTTTCCAAAAAAGCCATTCTAATGCTAGCATGCATGACAAAAAAAATATTTTAGAATCTTGTAGAAACAGAAAACAATTTCTCCTAAACAATAATAAACTTGACACKGCTCCTATTTGCTTTTAAAACTCAGCGAGATTAGACAATAACAGAATTAGTTCTGCATCAATGAAGACGGTCTTTTCGATTTCTTTCCTTAAACTTGGAAATTTCTTGTCAAAATTAACCCCTTTGAAAATAATTATTTTAAATTGAGTAAAATAGTATCGAATTATTTAGCTAAAGGGAAATTAAATATGTTCAAAGTGTCAAAAAGCTACATTTTTAATATATTTTGTGTACAATTTTCTAGTCTAAAWGTCACGTCACACAGAAATAATTGGGATTTGCAGTGAGTGTGAGATTTGTACCTTCAGTAATTTACCAAGCTATCGACATTGAATTTTTCGATAATTAAACGAGAATCAAAAAGATTATTATACGTGATCGAAGAGATGACAGCGACGGAAAACGGAAACAAGTGGTTTATGACGATTTCGGGATATTTCCTGTAATAACAAAAGAGTTGTCCTGATCAGTGCCTTAGAGCTATAGATGATTAAAAACTCGACTATCATAATCTCAAATCTATTCTGATGGCATTAGAACGATTTCTCGACTGAAGAATGTCGTATCTTTTAGCAATAAAGCAACAGGTCTGGCCTGGGCGAAGGATTGTCAAACACTACAAGCAGATTACTTAGATCTTTGTAAATATTAACATATTTTTTTGAAAGCAGGAAAATTCTGTTCTCTGATATTGGCTTTTGGTAATACACAATGACATTTTCTATTCCAATTTAAGTACTAACTCTAAACATAAAATAACACATCGAATCCACAATACAGATAAATTATTATTTGCAAAGCAAGGTTCGGCCGGATAGTTTCGAGTTAATTTGCTGAAAATCTTAACACATTTATTAGGATACGAGGTATAAATTATTCACTTCTCTGATGTTATTTGCTTAGTTTTAATTCCTAAGTTTCTAACAAAGCGCAGTGACAAGTTCGATGCTCCAGAGTTCATAATACGCACTCCTTTTGGATAAAGAGCTTTAGGCATTATTTACTTAACTTAGAAAATATACTGCGTGGTATAAAGTATGGAAAGATAAAACGAAAAATCTGTACATGAAACCTATTTCGTCCACCACGAAACCAGAACATCTGAAAATTTCAACACGCTAGTCAAATAAACGAATATAAAGAAAATGAAATTCGTTCAAATTCACCTTTAAAATCGAGGATACTCATCATAAACGTCCTCTTGTCCCTGCCATTAGAGGTTTTGAAGTCGACAGTCCTTGGTAATAATTCTCTAGAGGTGCATATATTAAACACTCTAGACTCGGAATGGTTAAAACTTTGTTTATCAGTTGGACAGGACTCGCATGGTATAGGGGACCGTAGACAGTCTCTGTTCACATATCGTATACACTCTAGTGGACTAGAATTGATCTAAACTCATATACACATTCATAAAACCCTTTTAAATGAAATTCAAGGCCTCGATAATTTCCTTTCACGTCGTTTAATTCACCGAAGCCCTTCCGAACAGCCACTTGGGAACCCTGCCCTGAAGGCACTTTGGGTAATGTCGCGAGATATCGCGTTTTCGTGACGAAAAAGCGTCACGCTCGAACATGCATCACTATAAATTGAAATAACAAGCTTAAAATAATTCACAATAAAAACAATTTTATATTTTCTTAAGATTTGGACCATTAACACCAGATATGATTTAAAAGTTCTCATGTCAAACCAGCACTTCCTTTCCCAGTAATAAACAAAATGAATAAGGTTTAGATAAGTTTGGACCGGAAGACCTCCATGTCTTGTGGTTGTCTCGAATGACACACCGACAATACACTAGCATATTGCGAATGCTTCCTCTCTATCTGTTAAAACTGTGGTCAGATAGCTTATATTTTAAGAGGCATTCTGGTGACTCAAGATTATTCGTGGACTAGGTAATAATAATCAAAATATTTCGTAAACAAATTATTATGGCATGAGTTTGTTATGTCGCAAAGGTTTTCAGAGTTATGCAAACTTTAGTTAGATTTCAATTTTCTTAATTTTCTTTCTCTTTAAACCATAAAGAGAGTTTACTTTCACATTTTAGTCATAAGACAAGCTAGTGGCTTACTTGTTTTTTGGAATCAGTTCTTTCGAAACTTGTCTTTTCGTTACGCACCAGTTCAGAATGACTTCGCAGTCAGTTGCAAATATTGTTATTCCTCATTGTGAACAGGTGGTAAGACAACTCTATCTAGAAACACTCTTTGGTCGACAGAGACACCTTATTAAATGTGAATAAAATATTCATATTTGAATTTTAGGTAAGTCAATCCATTGCCAAGCAACAATGTGTTAAATAGATTTAATTTACTAGTTAAATTTCGTGATACGTCAGAGATTCTAAAATTGGCATATGTTTTGCACCAGAGAAACTTGAAGCCGAAACTTTCAACAAATTTCAATGTGTACATCCAGCGACAGTTGGGAAACAATTTATCCTAATAGCTTTATCGTGTAATATGCGCTTACTGGCCTTTTGAACTTTTGGTGAGAAAATTTCTCCAAAAAACTTGATTAACGCCTACTAGTTTACAAGCACCTAATCTTTAAGGATTTCACTTATGTCACTATACTGAAGAATTTAACGAAGAAAAAGAAAGGTTAAAACTGAGCAACAAACAGTAGAATGACAACAAGTTCATTATTCAGTACAATTGATAATATCATAAAACAATAAATAGTCCATCATCTTAGCATCCTTTTACGAGAAATGATAATCCGGCTATACACTCAGCTAGAGAGGAATAGGTACGTCGTCATGAAAAGACATTAGAGAGTTTTAGATTTACGTTCACGGCAAACGTGAAACGTCAGTTGATCAGTAAAAACTTTCTTTTAAATTACTGAAAAAGAATCGCAAAAAAGTCCAAGTAGTAGAAAAACAAAAGAGTATTTGCGCTTGTTGAGAAGGTTTGTAAAAGGTAAAGTAAAATACAGGAAAACTATGAAAACGTGGTCACGTTTGCCGTTTGCTATTAACTATGTTTGCGGGGAGAAAAAAAAGTCAATCTAAAACTCTCTATTATTCATATTTTTTTCAACGCCTTCAGCCGATCAAAACCGTCCAACGCTTACATCAGTCTAGTTCTCAGGGACAGACAATTGTATATATATATTTTATGTTGATTATACTCGATTGCAGACACGTTGCGGTATACATTTATACATATATCTAATTTATTCAGTATATTTAATGATATGCAGAACCGAAAAATCGCTTTTGTTATTGTTTGTTTCATTCAATGACCGTCAAAATATTTTTTCTTGTCTATTAGATCGTACACATTATAAATCAGTTGGTTGTAAGCGTTGAAAATGGTTATTTTGCATTATGCATCTCATTAGATATTTGTATAAATGTGTAAATGTGTAAATGTATACTACAACGTTTCTGCTCGAGTGTAACTTGACGGTTTGGTTACACAGAGCCGGTCCGAGAACAAATGGCACGAAAAGAATTTGGCTAAAAAAATGGTTGAAATAATGCCTTGATATTTTGATTTACGGACTTTCAGAAATATTTTTAGACATGTTTTTTTTTAGCAAAGCTAACGTTGAAAATATGAATTTTGCGAATCTTTATAACGTAGTGTAAATTATGGAACGACGAATGAGCTTCAAGAAATTTTTGAGCAGTCGAAGTAAACTCATTGTCTACAAGTACAATAAGTATCGGGTAATCTCAGACTGACAAGAAAAACCACGAAGCTAAGTAGAACAACCGCGCTAATCTAGTAGAACAAAGATCAAAGCAATAAATAGATCATATTATTTCCGTTTTTACAAGAAAACTTCGATTCACATCATTGTAATTTGTACGTCTAGCTTGTGAAAATCTTGTTTTTATATACGTGGTTACCGGGGTGTGGTTGGGACGGATAAGGGATTTACATGCATACGTACAATGGCTTGATTAATATACGAATTTAATAAAAAATTTGGAGCTGACGAAAGATCTTTAATAAAGTTCTTTTGTGGGCTTTTAGGAAAGCATACTACTACTGTTAAATGGTTTTCACTTTTAATCAATCAAAAACAGAATAGAATCACCCATCCAATCATATCGCTCTTAAAATATGTAAGCCATTTCAATATCACGACGATAATCTACTTTTGGATGGAAATAAAGTCTAATGCATTGTAAAAAGAGCAATGCATTGTCCGTGACTGCAGGAAAATTTACCTCTAATCTCGTATAACGAGTCGATATCTTTTTAAAGAGGGTAGGTTAAGGTCATCGGTTCTAATGGTCATTTGCCTAGCTGATCTATAAATCTACTGATAACCTCTATTACTGTATGACACGACGCGGTAGTGTGGGCCGACATGTCATATTACAGCGGCTTCAGTAAAGTCAATGAGCTTTTACCCGGCGGCTAAGTATATTCAATACTTTACATTCGATTCTTGCCTTGTAAAATCGTTCTAACGAAGAAATAGAAAACGCGCGCGCGAAGTGCTTCTCGACACTTCTCGAGTTTTCTGCCACTCCCCAAGTGCTTTATAACTGTCTGCAGCACAGCAAGCAGGTTTTTTTTTTTTTCTTTTAGAAAATTTAAATTACAATAAATGTATTTCAGATAGGAATGAAGCAACTAAAAGTGCTCGCGCGTGCTGTGTGCGCGCTCTCATAAAGCACGCGCTCCTAACCAATCAGAACGCGAGATTCATAATAATTATCTTATAAAGCGTCTTTATGCGAGGCAGTGACTTTCATTCAGTTTGTCAGCTGCCGCGCGAGCGAGTGCTATTTTTAAAATGTGTACATGGACAAAATCATTCAATAAAACTTTACCATGTGACCGGGCACTATCAGGCCAAAGAGCCATGTCACTGTTACTGTCAACGTACGCACGAATCTGGCATTTCGTCGAGCATGCGCAATAAGAATGACAAGTCTCTGTGGGTCGGGAGTGGTACGTGCTGGTTAGAGGATACTAACATGCAATAGACGGGTCAAATAGATGTGACTGAAGCCGATAAAACTATTATATTTGCGGAGATACTCATTGTTTTCTCTCTCTCTTTTTTTTTTTTTTTTTTTTTTTTTTTTTTTTT